GCCATGGAGGTCAGAAGAGGGCTTCGGATTCCCCTAGAACTGGAGTTAAGGATGGTTCATAGCCACCATGTGGGTGCTGGGAATTGAACCCGGGTCCTCTACAAGAGCAGTCAGTCCTCTTAACCGCTGAGCCATCTCGCCAACCCTAGAATTGCTTTTTAAAACATAACCTGGGGGAGCTAAAGGGATGGCTCAGTGGTTAAGAGCACTGGCTGCTCTTGCAGAAGAACGGGTTCAGTTCCCAGTACCTACATGGTGGCTAACAACGATCCATAATTCCAGCTCCAGGGGAATTTGATGCCCTCTTCTGACCTCCATGGGCATTGCATGGCATGGGTGCACTCACATGCAGGCCATACACTCATACATGTAAAATAAAAATATTTAAAATACTAAAAAAAAATCTGGATACAGATTTTTTTACTAGATTTTCTACTCCATTGTGTGTACTTTCTCCCAGTCCATGGCTTGCTTTTTCATTGCTTAGAGGTTTTTCCTTTTCTTTTTTTAAAAAATATTTTGTTATTTTTATTTTATGTGTATGCATGTATTGCCTGCATTGTAGGTAAGTGCACCCTTGTTGTGCAATACTGGTGGAGAACAGAAGAGGCTGTCAGATCCCCGGAACTGAAGTTATTGGACAGTTGTTAGCTGCCATGTGGGTGCTGGGATTCGAACCTGGGTCTTCTGCAAGAACAACCTATAAAAGATCTTATTTTTATTGTTTTTAATGTATGTGTGCCTGCATGTGTATATGTGCATGTGAGTACAGCTACCTTTACAGGTAAGAAGCATTAGAGTCCCTGGAACTGGAATTAAAGGCAGTTGTGAGCCTTAAGACCTGGGTGCTAGGACCTAAACCTGGGTCTCCTACAAGTGCAGTAAGCACTTTTAACTGCTGAGCTATCTCTCCAGCCATAGAAGTTTTTTCTTTGATAGTTGGTACATTTTGGATCCTAAAAAACTTGTTCTTATCTTAAGATCTTAGATTTTCTCCCATATTTTTTTTCTGAAAAGTTTTAGCTTTTTAAAAAAATGTATGTATGTATGTATGTATGTATGTATGTATGTATGTATGTATTTGGTTTTTGTTTGTCTTTTTGAGACAGGGTCTCCCTGTAGCCCCACCTGGCCTGGACAACTTACTATGTAGACCAGGCTGGCCTTAAACTGAGAGACACCCCACTCCCCATCCCCCCAAGAGCTTGGCATCAAGCCCAGGGATGTGTGTTTATTGGGAAAGCATTCTACTTTGAACTGCATCCTCAGCCCTCATCATTTTTAAAAGCTTCATTTTGTATAGGGCACACATTCAAAATTCATATTTGAATATGGGCACTTGGTTTCTCCACTGTTTTCTGTTAATATGCTCACATCACATATTCATGCCATGTCATTCATTATCAGTGAGAGTATTCAGTAAGAATATGCTATTAATATGCTGTTTTTCATGTTTCCTTTATAATTAAACTTAATGAAAGATTGTGCTTATTGTTTAAAACATTAGAAGCTTTTGTTTTCTAATCATCATTATCTTTGTGTTATTTTTACATGTATATATTTTGGCTTTTGATGAAATGCTTTATTTCTGTGAAGCTGAAAGTACACATTAAGTTTCTGGCTAACACAGAGTTCAGGATCTCCAAGTCTGATCTATAATAAAATGGCTCTAAGAAGGCCGCTTCTTCAGGACATTCCTCTTCCTTTGGTTGGGTCCCTCTTTCTCTTACCTTGCTTGCACAGTTTTCATTTGCTATTTAGATAGAAAGAAAACTAACTTTCTTATGTGAATCAGGCACATATGCAACAAAGATGAAAGAAATGGTTGAGGTTACAGGTTCTTTCTTGTTTCTGTTTTCTCTCCTGTTTATTTTTCTGTGAATAGGATTTCCTCTTTTGATTCTTCCCTTCTCTTACCTCTTGGAAGAATAACTGCAGGTATTCTGTACATACATCCTTTCTTTGAACAGTCTGTTTTCCTAAGATGAAGATTGGATTTCTTTGGAATTTTCCAGAGGATGTTCCTAATCTAATATTCTATAAGGTTTGATTTTTTTGCCTTTAATACTCAGAGCACAGGGCAATGGGAGAAGAATTTGTATTATGAATTTATAGCATAGATGTGCATTGGCTTATTATCTTATCTCTAAAAACCCATCTTTTCCAGTGTGTTGCAACTGTTCTTAATATGCTGCTCTTCTCCAGTAGAAACCAGTGCATATGGTTCTTTGTGATATTCTTGTATTTGTTTTATGGGGTTAATGCTCTTTTTGATATAGGGACTTCACAAGCTACTCTTTATTTCCTCAGATAGAACACAGTTCATTAGTCATACATAATCATTGTCTTTCACTCTGTTCCCACCTCTCTTTCTTCACCCTGTGGTTCTTCTGCAGGTCTTGTTCAACGCTGTGTGATCATCCAGAAAGATGACAATGGATTTGGGCTGACAGTCAGTGGAGATAATCCAGTCTTCGTACAGTCTGTCAAAGAAGGCAAGGCATTTTTAAAAACAGTTTTGTCACTTGGGAGCAGAGTAAGCACAACAAAAGCTTAAATAATGTCTGTTGTCCAGAATAGAATTATACAGGATATGGACTTTTGTGCTAGATTTGACTATGGGGTTATAGGAATTAATTCACCCAAGGTGAATTTCTTTATAGTCAGAAAAGAGTTCATCTGTAGCTTTAGAAACCACATAATTTCTTGGTCATAATACTTTTCATGTCTTTGCTAGTCACTTACAGAAGTTTTTAGAATTTTGTTTCTTTGTAGCACTAGTGATATTTTAATAGGGATAAAGTGAGGCTTGAAAATACCAGATCCTTTCCCCAAATGACAGTAATGTATTTTTCTATTGAAATATAGTGAATTCTTTTATTTTGGGTGCTATAATTTCAGGTAGATAAGGTTATTAAAGGTGATAATACAGGTGATAATGAATTCTTAAAATAAAAAAATGTAAAACAATTCAGACTTAGACAACAGTGGGTGGAGGAAGCAGGATTTGAACCTAAGTCTGTCATATTTTACAGCTCATATTTTAACTGCTTTGTTACATCACTTCTTTTTTCAAGAAGACTATCAGTGAATCACATGCTAAGCAATTCATTTTTTTTACACAGATGGAGCAGCCATGCGGGCTGGAGTTCAGACAGGCGATCGAATCATCAAGGTAAAGCCAAGTCTGTGACAGAACTCATGGTAGAATTAAATAGTAACATGTGTTATCCATGTTCTTCTTTTCCACTTGGATTTTTATAAGAAAACTCATTCCCTTTTATAAAAACTTAATTCATCTGTTTTAAAATTGATATTATACTGTACTGCAAGGTATAATAAAAAGCTTGAGTAAATGAAGTCTTATTTGTTCTTCAGTTGGAAAATAACTCACTTTAAAAATTTTTTATTATTTTTATTTTATGTGTATGAATGTATTGCCTACATGTATATAAGTGCATCTGTATTATGCCTATGGAGGTCAGAAGAGGGCATTGAATTCCTCTGGAATGGGAGTTAACAGACAGTTGTTAGCTGCCATGTGGGTTCGGGGAATTAAACCTGGGTCCTCTGCAAGAGCAACCAATGTTCTTAACCACTGAGCCATCTCTCCAGCTCCAGAAAATAACTTGCTTTTATGAAGCTCATTTCTGTCCAGATTAATCTGTTAGCAAGAAATGCTCATCTTAACGTATGAATGTACGAATGAGATTGTGTTGGTATATCGTTATTTGGCAAACTGATTATTGTTACATACGAACTTTATAATGGTGTAAGACTTAAGACTAAAGATGGGCCTGGGGAGGGGTACCTAGCTCACATGCCTAAGGCCCTGGGTTTGATCTGTTAAAAAAAAAAAAAAACAGAAAGAAAAATGACAATGATGATTAGCCGAAGTTTACAGTGTGTGAGAGGTGGTGGTGTGGATTAATTGTAAGACTTGTTGGCACATCACTCTAGAATCCAGAAACAAAAACTTGTGAAATTTTTTTTTGAGATAGGGTCTCATTCATGTAATCCAGGCTGCACTTGGACTTCTGGTCATCCTGCCTTCTGAGTACTAGGATTACAAGTCTTTGTCACCATGCCTACTTTATGTGGTGCTAGGGATCAAACCTGGGCTTCATGGGTCTAGGCAAGCACTCTAACAACTGATCTACATTCCCATCCCAAGCCCTGTAATTTCTGAAAACAAATGGATTTCTCAGTAATTTCTCTTAAAACAGTAGAATAATTTATTACCTTAAAGCCATTATTATAGGAAAAGAGAACATTTTGAGAAAGTATTTGAATATATGATATCCTTTATTATAAAGAACACTTATGTATGCACATGTATATACATGTGTATACATGCATGGGCACATATGTGTGCTTGTGTTCACATGTGCACCTGCCGTCTTCTGTTTCTGTCTTCCTTATTTTCTTGAGACAGTTTTTCCCTGAACTTGGAACTCAATGTGTCATGTGTCCCCACCCCCATCTTTATCCTAGGGGCTAGGCTTTTGGTCAGCAAGCCCCAGCAATCCTCCAGTTTCTACCTCCTTGACCTCCCCAGCCTCCACCCAGTGCTGAGGTTACAGGCCCATGCAGCCTGTAACATGGGTTCTGGGGATTCAAACTCAGGTCCTCATGCTTGGCATCAAGCACTCTTACCCACTGAGCCATCTCTCCAGCCCAAGAGCACTTTTTAATTATTAAAAAGAGCTAGCTGTAGTGGGGTACACCTGTTGTAATCCCAACACTGTTGAAGCAGAGGCAGGAAGAGCATCTACAAATTTGAGGCCAGCCTGATGAATAAATTACTAAGAAAAGAGTGTTCTGATAGAAATATTAGCAAAGCACTTTAAATTCTCCAAAGTAATTGAAGTAAATAGCTTGTATTAATAAGAATATGAAGACAGGCATGATGGTGCACACCTTTAGTCCTAGCGCTTGGGAGACAGAGACAGGTGGATTAAGGCCAACCTGTTCTCCCTTAGGGTGTTCCAGACCAGCTGGAGCTATAGGAAGACCCTATCTCAAAATAGCAGCAACAAAAGAATATGGCCATTGTCACTGCTAACAATGAAGCAGAAATTGAAATATGTAAAAAACATATTCAATTGTCTATAAATTTAAAGATTGATAAAACATTGATAATACACACTTACACAGTATTAAATATAGGAAAGTGATTTCTTTCATAACTTCAGCATCAATTAGATAAAGTATATTTGGATAGAAATTTGTAAATAATAAAAATTTTTAAGAAAATGTATGACCTTTGACTAGACAATTTGTTCTGAGGAACTTATCTAAGGAAATAAGTGTACAAATGTGCCACATTCACAGGGAAATTTATAACCACGCTGAAAACTTGCAAACACCCCACAATCTAAGTGTGCAAAAACTGAGATTCAAGGAAAAAAGAGCTGTCGATTTTAGTAAGAACAAATTAAAGCCCAACATGATGACCCACACCTGTAATCCCAGCACTCCTGAAGATGAGGCAGGAGGATTGAGAGTTAATCTCCAGCTGGGCTGCATAGTAAAACGTTGGAAGATGACAATGTGATAGAAGAAAGACAGCTCTAATGTCTTTGTCTCTGTAGTGTTTGTATACTAGAAAGGTATCTCAAATGTGAAATGTTAGAGCTGGAGAGATGACTCAGTGGTGAAGACCTGGGTGGCTAAAAACTGCCTGTAGCTCCAGTTGCGGGGGAATTTTCTTCTGATCTCCACGGGGATTACACGACACAGATGCACTTACATACATGCAAGCAATGCTGTTATGCACATAAAAATAATTTTAAAAAGATAAAAATAAATGTCATAGTTAACAGTGAATCTTTAGGAGACACGAGTATGCTTTTAGCTGTGTTTTATATATTGATACATTTGTATTTCTGTGTGTGTGTTGTGGATATATTGTGCATATATATACATGTTCATATGCATGTATGAGGGGTGCCTGTGTACATGTATGCACGTATATGTGGAGGCCAGAAGATGACCTTGAGTATTGTTACTCAGGTGGTATTAGCATTATTTTGACATAGGATCTTTCATTTGTCCAGAGCTGGCTGGATCTTCCTAACTGCCTCTCCAGCACTGAGATTATAAGTGTCTCCCATCATGCCCAGCATTTTTATGTGATGAGTCCTGGGGATTGAACTCAGGTCCTCTTGCTTGGTAGGCACAGCAAGCACTTTACTAACTTGGCCATCTCCCCAGCTCGCTACACTGATGTATTTTGAACTTCAAGTTGATATTACTTGCATCAGAGAAAAAATTAAAATTAATGTTAAATCCATGTTTGATATTTTTGCTTTGTTTCATTTAGTGGAAACCTTTGCTACCATTTTTATGCCTACCTCTGAAAATTAAGTTTCTTTGTAAAGATAAAGATTACATTATAATTGGAAAACTAAAAGTAAATTGAGTGTTATTGTAGAAGTACTTTTTCATTTTTAAATTGCAATTTTGAGAAATCATTCAGCTGATAGTAAAAACAGGTTTTTGTTTGTTGACAGGGTCTTGTTTGTATAGCTTATGCTGGTCTTAATCATTTTTCTTAAGATTCAGTTTTTTAAAAATGTTTATTTTCAGCAGGGCATGATGGCGCATGCCTTTAATCCCAGCACTTGGGAGGCAGAGGCAGGCGGATCTCTGTTAGTTCCAGGACAGCTGGGGCTACAGGAAGACCCTGTCTCAAAAAGACCAAAAAAAAAAAATTTTTTTTTAATTTTCATTTTTGTGTTGTACATTGCCCTCGGAGGTCAGAAGAAAGTGTTGGATTCGCCTGAAACTGGAGTTGTAGACCATGTGGGTGCTAAGACTCAAATCTAGGTCTTCCGTAAGAACAGTCAGTGCTCTTAACTGCTGAGCCATCTCTCTATCCCCAAGATTCAGTTTTGTTTGTTTTTAAAAACTATTTTATCTATTATTTTTATTTTATGTGTATGAGTGTATTGCCTGCATGTATGTGAGTGCACCCGTGTCATGCAATGTCGTGCAGGTCAGAAGAACTGGAACTGGAGTTAAGGACAGTTTGTAGCTGCCACGTGGGTTCTGGGAATTGAACGTGGGTCCTCTGCAAGAGCAGTCAGTGCTCTTAACCACTGAGCCATCTCTCTAGCTCCATCTCTCCAGCCCCCCAATATTCAGTTTTTTAAAAGATTATTTTATGTTTACACTTGCATGTATGGATGTGCACCACATGTGTTCACTGTCTGTGGAGGCCAGAAGAGGGCTTTGGATCCTCTGGAACTAGATTTACAAATCGTTGTTAGCGGCATGTAGATACTGGGATCTGAACTCTGCCTTCTGCAAAAACAGCAAGTGCTCTTACCTGCTGAGCTATCTCTCCAGCTCCCAAGGCCTTGATTCTTGATTCTCCTGCCTCTGCATTGCCGGTGCTGGGATAATGGGCATGTACTACAAATGCTGAGTTTATGAGGTACTGAGACTAGAACCCAGGGCTTCATGCATACTACTAAGGAAGCATTCTACTAGTTGAGCTATGTCTCTAGCCAGAAAGATCTCTTTTTAAATTGGAGTAGTTCTTTACTGTGAAGGATTTGTAAATCTATTTCCCAGAATAATTTTTATTTGCTATGATGATTAAGTTGTAGTTTTATTTAAATTGTGAGTGTCCACATTTTGACATTGCAATGTGACATTGTCATCTATCAGTGTGTTTGGCTTCATTTATTGTTGTCCTGGGATGCATTTAGCCAGATGGCCAGAGGTTGGCTTTTAATGAAGCTCTTTTTTGTGTTCAGGTTCATTTGTTGCAGAATATATAATAGTGGTAAAGGTAAAATTTGAATCAAATATATACATCTTTTAACTATTCATTATAATTAGTACATGATGATTCCTGAGGTCATCCTCTTGATCAAATATATCTAACATAAACTTTTTCATTTTCCTTAAAGGTGAATGGAACTCTGGTGACTCATTCAAACCATTTGGAGGTGGTGAAGCTAATCAGATGTAGGTGAATGTTATTTTTTATTTTAATTGTTTTCTCAACCTTTTAAAACAAAAATCAAACATTTTCTGTAACGGGTGAAATAGCAAATGTTTTGGGCTTTGTGGACTACACAGCTTACTACTGGACTCTGTTCTGGCCGCACAGAAGCATGCATGGGCAATGTGTAAATGAATGGATATGAATAGGTTTTACTAAAACTTTATTTGCCAAAACAGTCTGTGGGCTAGCTTTATTTAGCTCCTTGGTAGGTGTTTTCCAACCCCTGCAATAAAGGATGGTCTAAGGTAAATACTCTTAATTTTTGTTAACTCCCTGCAGTTGATTCTACTATCCTTGTCATTCTTGGTAAGATTGAGTATATATATTTGAAAGGCAGACATGAGTCATCTGACGGGGCGGGGGGGGTGTTGAGAAATCGATACAGTGCCCTGATGAACTAAAACACAACTTTAGAAATCATGCAGTTGCTGGGCGTGGTGGTGCACGCCTTTAATCCCAGCACTCAAGAGGCAGAGGAAGCTGGATCTCTGTGAGTTCGAGGCCAGCCTGGTCTCCATAGCAAATCCAGGCCAGCTGGGGCTATAGGGAAACCCTGAAGGAAGGAAGGAAGGAAGGAAGGAAGGAAGGAAGGAAAGAAGGAAAGAAAGAAAGAGAAAGAAAGAAAGAGAAAGAAAGGTGGGGAGGAAGGAAGGAAGGAAGGAAGGAAGGAGAGGGAGGGAGGGAGGGACAGGGAAAGCACAGTCACTTTCCTTCAGATAAGTAAATGATTTCCGAGAAAATATCTTGGAAAAGTTTAGGGTTAGTAATTTATAACCTTTAGGTTTGGGTTAGTAGCCCACATACATTTAGTATTCTATGTTGAAGTCTTAGACTAATGCAGCTTGACCATCCTCTAGTTACTAGAAGTCAAAAGTGAGTGGTGCTTCTCTGAACTGACACTGAGGCTGGGCCAGCCAAGCTCCAACTACTTATAGGGCCTCAGTTTTTCTAAATTTACAGGTAGAAGAAAGCATTCAGTGGTCTTTGTGAGTTTCACTTATAAGTGATAATGGATAAGGTATTTGGGATCTCACAGTCAGTTGAGGTCTGGGTTTCATACTGTACCCTCCTGAAGCCCCAGCTTCACTTCGTTGTTATCGTTCAGCCCCACTTGCTTTCCAAGAGGTTATATAGTTTTAGTTGCTTCGTTGTTTGCATAAATGATAGCATGACTGTTGATGAAGTAGAGGGAGCAAGCCACATGAGATTCTCCTCACCTAAATGCAACTTCAGGTTTTTTTTTTTTTTCTTCTGGTTTAGGTGTTAGGTATTTGTTGTTGTTTTTTTAAAGAAAAAAAGAGAGCTTAAAACAAATTGAACATAGTAGCAAAAGGGTATGTGATCACCTGTATCAGATTATTTCATAGTAAGTGCACTGTAAATGAGAGTTATTTGTCTCTGAGCAGAATCATTTAATTCTTTTTACTGAGTAGACATACATTTCTAGAATAAATTCAGTGAACTGGATCATTCTGTGTAGCTTGTGTGTTGCTTGCAGGGTAGCTCAGTCTGGTTTCAAACCTGCAGCATCCCTTCTGCCTCAGCCTCCTGAGTGTGTGTTCTATCATGTCCAGCTTAGTAAATTGAGTACTTTTTAAAAAAATATTTTATTTGTTATTTTTTAATTTCATGTGTATGGGTTTATTGCCTGCCTATGTGTAAATGCACTGGTGTTGTACAATGCCTGGGAAGGTCAGATCAGAAGGCATTGTATTTTCCTGGAAATGGAGTTATGGATGGTTGTTGGCCACTGTGTGGGTGCTGGCAACTGAACCCAGGTCCTCTGCAAGAGCAGCCAGTGCTCTTAACATCTGAGCCATCTCTCCAGCCCCTAAACTGAGTTCTTTTAAGGCCCTTTTTCAGGGGTGAGGATTTGGATAAGGTCTCATGTAGTTCAGGTTGGCCACAAACCCGTTGTATAGACAAGCCTGGCCTTTGAAGTTCTTATCCTACTGTTTCTACCTTCCTAGTGCTAGTATTATAGACATGTACCACACACATGGTTGAGGTATTGCTGGGGATAGAACTCAGAGAGGGCATTGTGCATGCTAGGCCAGCACTCTACCAACTGAACTGTATTCTCTACCCTAAAGCCATCTTTTTAAATTGTAGCCTGGCTCTTTCCATGACCTTCTTATTGCTTAAGTAACCCTGAGTTCTAATGATCACTTTGATCATACTTCTTTAGTATATTAAAGAAAAATGCAGTGATCAGAATTAGATCCCACACTTGAATAAATTTGATTGCTTGTATAATAAGATCATAGTGTGTAAGTTTTAACATGCTACATGATTATGATGGTTTGTGTTAATAAATGTATGCCTGATGTTTATTGTCAGATGTGAAAACTAAGAGTCTTTAGCTTTCTAGGCTATTTTGTTGTTCATTCCAGTATAAACTTTACTTTAAAAATTAAGCTCAGAGGCTGGGGTCTGCATAGAGAAACTCTTGTCTAGCATGTGCAAAGTCCTAGGTTCCATATCTCCCCTACCAAAAATAAAGTTGAGTCCTAGGATTATAACAGTAGATTATTTATCCAGTAGAGAGAATAAAACTTAGTATTACGCATGAAATACTTTTGAATATCCAAAATACATATAAACATGACATTCCTAAACCCTAGGTGCCACATGAAAGAAGTTCTCGTGACCTACTTTTTAATGCCTATTCCAAATATTCTAAAAGTGATTTTGAATCTGATTACCTTAGAACCAGCTAAAGAAGGAATTAAAGAACTAGAAAGCTATCGGAGATAAACACATGGGCTAGTAAGATGCAATAGATGACTTTCTGACAGAGCATATTAGCCTAAAAGTCTTAAAACATATTCTTACTGGGCAGGGGGTGCTCTGTGATACCAGCACTTGGGAGGCTGAGGCAAGAAGATCACAGGTTCAAAGCTTGCCTAGCCACAAAATGAGTTCAAGGCTTTGAACTTAGTGAGACTGTCTGAAAATTGTAGGGCCACGCGTGGTGACGCACGCCTTTAGTCCCAGCACTTGGGAGGCGGAGGCAGGTGGATCTTTGTGAGTTCAAGGCCAGCCCGGTCTACATAGTGAGTTCAGGTCAGCTGGGACTACAGGGAGACCCTGTCTCAAAAAGAAATTGTAAAGATGCCAGGCATGGTGGCACACAGCTTTAATCCCAGCACTCAGGAGTTAGATAGAGGCAGGTGAATCGCTATGAGATCCGAGGCCAGCTTGGTCTACATAGTGAGTTCCAGGTGGGCTGGCGCTAGAGAGACCCTGTCAAAACAGAAAAATATTTCTTTTTAAGGACTGCAGATGTAGCTCAGGGGTTAGTTGCTTAAGTAGCCTGCTCAAATTAAGTCCTGGGTTCAGTCCCAAGTACCTCAGATTAAAAAAAAGAATGAAAAAGAAAAAAGTTTTTTGACAATGTTCCTTTGTCTCCCCCCCCCCCCCAAGCTGGTTCCTATGTAGCTCTCACTGTTCAGGGACGCCCACCTGGGTCGCCCCAGATTCCACTTGCTGATTCTGAAGTAGACCCACCAGTCATTGGACATATGTCTCCCATCATGACATCCCCTCATTCCCCTGGAGCTTCTGGGAATATGGAGAGAATCACTAGTCCTGTGCTCATGGGGGTAAGACCAGATTTTCTTAGTAAATGCTCAATTATATAAAGATACCTTTGCTTTATATTAAGAGTTCTGATACACTAAGTTGATAAACACATTTACATTCAAGAATCTAAAAGGTAACTGTTTAATATAGAAGTTGCATGATTATTTGAAATGATTAGAATATTGTTATGGCAGATTTAGTTGAACAAATATTAAATACCCGCTATATACAAAACAATGTACCAAGAAATATGATTAAGATATCCTCTGCTGAAATTCCTTAATCATTTGTATACTTTAAAAGGATAGGGGTTTTTTTGTTTTGTTTTAGATTCTGTCCCCTAATGCCTGAGATACTCTTTGACATATAGGAGGTGCTTAATAAACCTTTATTGACTGAGGTTGAGAATATATAAGTAACCATAGTACAGAGGTAGCATATAGTATGAGAGGGGATACTAAGTTGTGAGACTTCAAGGGAAGAAAAACCCCATCTAGTTGTGACAGAGACAGACTTTATAAAATGGTTGTGTTTCGATTAAGCCTTTTAAACAGGTAGCATTTAAGTGGAGTCTATGGAGAGGAAAGCAGACATGTAGAGAAGGTAAAATAAACAGTTGAAGGGCCAAGAAAGATGAGCATTTTCAGAAGGGAGCAGGACTTCTGTTTGACTGTTGCCAGTCAAGGAGGTACATAGTGGGAAATGGCTTGACAAAAGGAAACCATCTACCTATATATTTTTCATAACTGCTGAGCAAGTTTACATGTAACTAAATAAGCAGCAAGAATCTCTTAAACGTTGTTGTCAGCAAGAGTGAAAAAATTATAAGAAGATTATAGGAAGACATTTAAGTTGATAAAATGTTACAGGGTTGTGAAACAAGAGATGAGTTGGGAGTTGTTTCAAATATCAGGCAGGCAAGACTGAGAATCTGAACGAAGCCTGTGGATTAATGGTGATGATTCAAAGGAGAAAATAGAAGATAATGTATTTGTACGTAATTTCAGTTTTCCAGCTAATATCAGTATTTAGTGTCCTCTTGAATCCAGTGTAGTAAAAGTAAAATGGCAGAACTATTGCTGTGATTTTTTTTAATGTGTTGTGTCTGAAAGCTTATCATTATTCAATAAATTCACAGAAATAAAGAAAATCCTAAAAGACGTTGATGGTTGAAGCTGAGGTAGAACATGATCTTTCTTATTTTTTTTTTTTTTTTTCTATTTTGGCCTCATTTTTTCTGTGTTATCTTTTTCTAGGAGGAAAACAATGTGGTCCATAACCAAAAAGTAGAAATTTTGAGAAAAATGTTGCAGAAAGAACAAGAACGGCTGCAGGTACAGTTAGCAGTGGGGCTGCTTACAGCAGGAAACTGCGCATAGCTGAGTTGGTGTTGGGTATAGTCACAGTCACATACAGTTGTAATCAGTGCCATCAACTTTTTATTCATAATGGGCTTTTTCACTACTTTCATGATATAAAGTAATTAATTCTTAAAATATTTTATAACTTTTCAGTTATTGCAGGAAGATTACAACCGAACACCTGCCCAAAGATTGCTAAAAGAGATCCAGGAGGCCAAGAAGCACATTCCTCAGCTGCAGGAGCAGCTATCCAAAGCCACAGGCTCTGCTCAGGTAGCTTGACTATTAAAAGGGCTACCCAACTTCCTGCAGGAAAATTTTCTTCTGGGAATGTATCAGAGTGTTGTTGCTGTTGCCTTTTAAGACTGATTTTTCTAGCATAGGATAACAGGGTGTCCTGTGTAGAGTGTTACAAAAGTAATGATTAACAAGAATAAATGTGGTCTTCTGAGTCTTGACTTGCTTATATCATGTTTCTTTGTAGCAATTTTTAAAAAAGAAGTGAGTGCTTTTGCTTTGATAATGACAAACTACAAAAACGTAGTTAAATATACTTGCATTTAAAAATATTTTATTATTTTTATTTTTTATATGTATTGACTGTATGTGGGTAAGGGCACCTGTGTTGTACAGTGCCTGCAGAAGTCCGAAGAGGATGTTGGATCTCTGGAACTTGAGTTAGGGATGGTTATTAGCCACCATGTGGGTGCTTGAATTTGAACCTGGGACTTCTGCAAGAGCAGCAGTGGTTAAGAGTGGCTCTTAACCACTGAGCCACCTCTCTAGCCCTTAGTTAATTGGATTTTATGGTTCATTCTGTTGTCTTAAAACTGAATGACAGTTGATAAAGTTTTTAAGTAGAGGTAGAAGATTTTTATATATTGAGAAAGGCATTATGGTAAATATCTGGATAGACAGTCTACTCTGTGCAGTCCTCTGAGGTTATATACTTCTGTTTGCCTCCATTTTGCATATGCACTTCAAGTGTGAGGGATTGAGCAACTTATTTGAGGTCATGTTCTCAAAAGTGATAGAATTCAGGGCCAGGCATGTTGTACATGTTTGTAATCACAGCACTTTGGGAAGGTAAGCAAGAGGATTGCAAATTGGAGGTCAGCCTGGGCTACATAGTAAGGCCCTGATTCAAAAGAAGAAGAAAATAACTGAAATTCCAGACTTACTCTTTATTTTTGTTTGCTGAGGCAGGGTCTTGCTATGTTGCCCTGCCTGGCCTTACATTTGGCTATGTAGCCCAGGCTGAGTTTGAAATCACACTAGTCCTCCTGCCTTAGCCTTCTGAGTGCTGGAATCATAGGCATGTGCTACCATGCTCAGCCTCACACTTAGAGTCTAGTCTCAGTAGTTTTATTTTGTTGTAATTTAAACATAGATTTCAGGAGAATTTGCTGTATGGACATAAGTTATGTAGATAATATCATCTATCGTTAGGAAAAGTAGCTCAGCATTTATATGTCAACCAGACATTCTATAATATTTATATTTAAGATGTACAAAGCTTTGTTTATTTTAAAAGGAAAATGGGCAACTTACCTATATAATTACTTTTTGCCTGTGAATTGAAAATGGGTAAAAGCTGATGAGTTGTTACTACTTTTGAATTAGTAAAAACCATATATTCACCAAACTGAAAGCATTCTTTGAGATCATCTAAATTTTCTCATTTTCAAGTAAAATACCATGTTGTAGTTGGGAAAACTGGTTAAATGACATGCTTAGGGTCACATGGTACATAAGGTTTATTGACTTCCTTATTGAAAATACTTTTCAGTACACATTGAGTATTTTTTTCTAGTTCTATTATTAGGCTGCTGTAATATTGACAAATGTGTGTGTACATACATGCATACATACATACATACATACATATTTGGCAGTACTGGGGATTAAATTTATTGCCTCAGGTATACTAGGCAAGCACTGTACCACTGAGCTACATTAGGAGCCCCTTATAGTCTTATCATCAATCAAAACCAACATATTTACCCTATCTGAAGAATAAAAATGTAGTTCCTGATCTTAAGTGCTTACAATAATATATCTTATAGTGTGTAACCAAATATTGAATATTTATTGAAAGTCAGAAGCAGTGGAAGGCAGCCAGCTCGAAGTTATAGTGTAATAATCTTTACTAATGGACAGATAATGTAAATTATATAGTGACCTACTATATATGTTTAAAATATTAACTTCCCCTATGTTTACAGTCATGCTAAAATATCACTTTCCCTATGTTTAATATCATGTCTTTTTTTTTTTGGTCTTTTTGAGACAGGGTCTCCCTGTAGCCCCAAGATGGCTCAGTGGTTAAGAGCACTGACTGCTCTTGCAGAGGTCCCCGTTCGATTCCCAGCACCTACATGGCAGCTACAAACTGTCCTTAACTCCAGTTCCAGGGGAATCTGAAGTTGTCTTCTGACCTCTGTGGCATTGCACGACACGGGTGCACTCACATATGTGCAGGCAATACACTCATACACATAAATAAAATATTTTAAAAAAGAATGCTTAAAAAAAACAAAAAAAATTAGCAGTAGTATCTTAGAGGAGATCTTATATAAGATGTTTATCTCAGCCAGTTGGTTCCCTCCTACCTCTTCATTGTCTGCCTGCTTTAAGCTCTGTGTCTTCCTGATAGTGCTTTGTTTCGAAGTCTGAAGCTTTATTTATATGCTGGTGGATTAGACCCATCAGTGTAAGCTAACTTCCTATTACTGATTAATGCTCTTCTCCTCTCAGTATGAACTATATGAGACACCAATTCATGTTTTTTATTCTGTTTTACAACATGCTGTAATGCCATAAGCTAACATTTTTCTAGAAGGAAATGGAATAAATATATATTGCCTATAATTCATTTAAATTCAAGAAGGGATATTTTAACCGTTGAAACAATTGTGAATTATAATTGAGATTTAAAAACTTTTTTAGGTTAAGTGCTATTTATGGAGGTACCTACATGTTGAATAAACCAATTGAAGAAATCATTGTACAAAATGGAAAAGTGGTTGGTGTAAAATCTGAAGGAGAGGTGAGTAAATTTGCTCCTGTGAGGAAAACTGTACCATCTACTCGGTACTTGTATTGGTATGGACATTGATGTTAGATTCTGGAAGAAAGGTAGGTAGGTAGGTAGGTAGGTAGGTAGGTAGGTA